CCCGCGGTGCTCCTGCTCTGGGCAGCCTCCTTCAGGAAGTCCCTCCCAACCCCCACACCCCGTTCGGGAAGCCATCACCCCGCGGCACCCCCCGGGCCTTTACAGCTCTACACTCTCGGGTGACACTCAGAGTCACCGTTTGCTGGGTGTTCCAGTGAAAACTGAAAACTTACTCCCACCCCGCTGGCCGGCGATGAACCCGTGTCCCCTCCCCAGCCCTGCAGGAGCGGGCCTGTCAGTCCGGCTCGGAGGGGACTCAGGAGGGGCTGGGACCACAGCCCCTGGTAGGCCCGAGTCCTGGTTCTGGCGTGGGACGCTGCCTTTTCCTGTACGCAAGGCTTGACCTCCTGACCCACTTCCTGCTGGACCTGAGCCCAGTCTCGTCCTTGCCCGGCCACTGCGCACCTGCCCGCGCCTCTGTCCTTGGCTGGACCTTGTACCTACGTGGACCCGCTTGTCCCGACGGGCATTCGAAAGCCACCTGGAGTCTCATCACCAGGAGGCCCACCCCTGCCAGTCAGGCCCCAGTGGACTCTGACCCAGCTGCGCCCTCAGGGACGGCCCTGACCACTGCCCGTCTCAGGGGCTGCCCACCCTGTAGGTACCTTTGGTCTCAGATGGGCTGAATTCCCATCCAGCCGCCCAGCCACGTCCTCAGACTCCCTAAAAGCAGGGTGTGTGTGGGGGGGTGCATGCAGGTTAAAATCCCTAAATTGAATAAATAAAGGGTCTAATCCCTTTCTCCGCCCTGGATCCAGGAACGCACACAGGGTCCCAGGTAATTGACAGCAGAATCCTGCAGGAGAGAAGACCACCAGGCCTGCATCGAAGTAGCTGGTTGCACAGAAAACACTAAAACGACAAGACGTGAGCGTGGAGCCAGAATGAGTGGCAGAAGGAGGGTCAGACACACATGGTGTCGTTTGTTGGTTATTTATTGGTGATGTCACGGTGAGAAGTCACAGGCCTGGAGTCAACTTCCTCGACTACAAGCCTGAGACAACAACGTTTACCGGAAAATTCACTGCTAGGATCGACCGGGCTGTGTGTGTACAGGGTCTGGCCCTGTGGAGGCTGGGAGGTGTGTACCATCACCCACCACCAGCCAGGTGCTGAGGAAGCCGCCTTGTTCTGAGGATGGAGGAGGAGGAGGAGGAGAGGAGAGGAGAAGATGAGACAAAAAGTCAGGGGCAGGAGGAGAAGGAGGTGGGGCGGAGAGAAGAAGAGGAAGGAGAAGATGAAGGAGGAATAGGAAGAGGAAGAGGAAGAAGGAGAAGGAGAAGGAGAAAGAAGGAGGAGAAGGAGGAGGAGAAGAAGAAGAAGAACAAGAAGAAGGAGAAGAAGAAGGAGGAGGAGGAGGGGGAGGAGGAGGAAGAGGAGGAGGAGGGAGGGAGGGAAGAATGAGAGAGGAAAAAAGAGGGAGCGAGAGAAAGAGACAGAGGGAAACAAATAGACAGAGAGAGAAAGTGACCGGGGAGATTCCCAAAGGACACCGTGACCCACGAGGGCGTTGCCACTTTGAGGGGCTCAGTGGGGCCTTTGGGGGCTTCGGGTGCGGGCAGGGATGACTCACGAAGCCACGATGACCCCAAAGACAAAGACGGCCAGACACACGGAAACGATGATGCCGAGCCGGGCCTGTGTCCGCGGGTGTCCACTCGCTCTGTCGTACCGCAGGGCCGTGCGGGGCTGCCTGTCGACTGACAGCCCGAACTTCCGTTGCCACCCTGCCTTGACCTTGATCGCACCCACTGCTCACTCAGCAACCTGGGCCTCCTTCCCACCTCCTGGCCCTCGGCCTCTCCCGGGGTCTCACCCTCCATTCATCCATTCCTCGAACTGTGTCCCAGGCACCTTCCAAGGTGCTCGGGATCCCAGTGTGAACTCACCCCTGCCCCTTCCTGCCTCCTTCCCACCCCCTCGCTCCTGGAAGAGCCAGCGAAGACCCCAGTGCTAAATGCATCTCATTGGATGAGGGCCAGGGTGGGAGGGGGATTTGGGTTGCTCCTTTGCCAAGAACATGACAGGGGAATGCAAAATGCTGACAATCCCCTGAGAAGAAGGAAGCCTGCATCTTAGCGGGCGGCTCTGAGGGTGGCCTTGGGAGTGCCATTCTGCACCTCCCACTCGCACCCTCTCGTTCTGTCAGCAAAGACTCTTGGCTCGACCTTCAAAGTGTATCCAGTATCTGAACCTCCTCCTGGGCTCCTGACCTGGTCTAGCCGCACCCTCCCCATCCCAGGATCCTGGCTTCTCCTCCCTGCAGTTCCCCGCGTGGCCGCCAGGGGCGCCGTTAACCCCCAAGTCCACTCACGTCCCTCTTCTGCTCAGAGCCCTCCCATGGCTCATCTCTCATTCGGAATAAAAGCCCAGACCTAAGCGGGTTTGGCTCAGTGGATAGAGCGTCCGCCTGTGGACTGAAGGGTCCCAGGTTCAATTCCTGGTCAGGGCTCATGCCGGGTTGCGGGCTTGATCCCCACTGGGGGGGCTTGCGGGAGGCAGCCCATCAATGATTCTCTCTCACCATTGATGTTTCTATCTCTCTCTCTCTCTTCCTTTCTCTCTGAAATCAATAAAAATATATTTAAAAAAAAATAAAAATAAAATATCTTTTTGCACCTGCTATTAGATGCATGGTCAAGTTACAGAGGAATCTTCCCATCTAACAGCAGGGAAAATGAACTTCAGAATGTGGAAGCACCTCTGGGCCTCACTGTAAGCAAGTTCAGGGCAGAATTCAAGGCTGCACGTGGGAGACCTCAAAACCCATATCCACTGGGACCGGCTGACGTCTCCCGTGTCTCCCACCGCCCACAAGAGCTTACCGAAGCAGTTATTCTTTTTAATGCATGTGGGACTGGTCTTCAGGCAATGAACACAGTCCAAGACCTCTTCTTTCAGCATGTCTGGACAAGGGGGAAGGGAGAAGTGGGATGAGGGCGGCTATGAGACAATTGGCACGGGGTGGGAAGACAGAAGGGGAAAGAGGATATGGAGTCCCTTGGCTCTCGTGAATTTGGGGGTCCCATGTGCAGCAGAGCAAGCTGAGCAAAATGCACTGACGATTCACCTTCAAAATGATATACTGGTATTTATAAAAAATATCCAAGTTGATGGAAGAGTTCAATTAAGTTGCAGCTGTTCCGTGAACCCAACGTTCTGTTTGCAGACATTTAATTAATAAAAATTAAACACATGTTTAATTAAACATCGACAAAGACATGCTTTCACATCTCTATTCCTATTTTGCAGCCACCTGTGGCATAGACTGGCTGGATGCTCACTCATCTGTCTCCTCAGCTTCCTGCCACACGGGAAGACTACATTTCCCAGGATTCTTTGCAGTAGGTTGAAAACATGTGACTGAGTTCTGGCCAATGGAAAGTGGGGAGAGGAATGCAGCGCCAATTCCCAGGCTTGGCTATCAAAGTTCCTGCGGAATTCCCTATTCTTTCTCCGTTTTTGAAGCTTGCTGAGAAGGCACAACCCGGGTGCAGCCTGGATCCCTGAGTCGGCACTTGGAAGAACTGCTCAACTCTCGGTGGAATTTGAGTGAAAGAGAACTAAACCTTTCTTTCGTTAAACCACTGGCATTCGGGGTTTGTTACTAGGACATAGGCTCTCCTATCCTGTCTAACATTCACCCAAAGTACTTTTTTTTGCAGGTTGCAACTTTCATAAGCCCTCAAAAATCAGATATCCATAAGCACTAGAACTTTGGACCCACTAGATCAGCGGTTCTCAACATGTGGGTCGCGACCCCTTTGGCGGTCGAACAATGCTTTCACAGGGGTCGCCAAAGACCATCAGAAAACACATATATAATTACATATTGTTTTTGTGATTAATCACTATGCTTTCATTATGTTCAACTTGTAACAATGAAATTGGGGGTCACCACAACATGAGGAGCTGTATTAAAGGATCGCGGCATTAGGAAGGTTGAGAACCACTGCACTAGATGGAGTAGGTGTGATAGTGGGGCTTGATTTGTGGGTAAAGAGACATAGAAGGGTAGAGAAGGGAGGGATAGACAATACATCTACCAGGACTCACGGCAAATTTTCCGATCACAGGCTGCAAGAGAAAAGAGCTGAGGTGAGATAAGCTGGGACAGCAATTTGAGAATCTGATCAAGGAAAGGAACCAGGAGAGGGAGGGAGAAATGAGTCTGGGGAAGAAGAGGAAGGAATATTAGCGAGGGGCAGGGAAGGCTGAGTCGGAGGGGAGGGAGGAAGGAGTGTGGGAGAAAAGGTGAGAGAAGGGATGGCGTGATAAGGAGGAGGGGACTTGGTGGAGAGGGACGCTGCACCTTTTAGTTCATACGACCTTAACACCGTCTTGAGTTTCTTGGTCACCTTCCTCCTAAGAGTCACCAGCTCTTCCAGCAGAGGCCCATCTGAGGAGAGAGCGAGCTCCGTGGGAGGCACTCAGCATCCCATCGGCAGCTTCAAACAGGAGGGACGAGGAAACTCTCTTTCATTCACCAGGAGTACCAAGGCCAGGTCTTCCTCGGGATCCACTGGGCAAACCCATGGCCTGGGAAGTCCTGCATCTAGCTTCCCTGAGCCCGGCTTCTGGCTTGGTGGTGCTCCCCCTGTGGGAGCACACTGACCACCAGGGGGCAGCTCCTGCGTTGAGCATCTGCCCCCTGGTGGTCAGTGCACATTATAGCGACCTGTCGTTCCCCGGTTCGGTCGATTTGCATATTAGCCTTTTATTATATAGGATTACCTAGACCTGCACTCTTCAATATGTCAGCCACTAGCCACACATGGCTATTGAGCACTCAAAATGGATTAGTCTGAACTGAGATGTGCGGTTCATCTAAAATAGATGTTAGGTTTCAAAGACATGGTATGAAAAAAGATAATTGTATAATATTAATAAATCATTTTTATATTGGTTGCATGTACAAATGGCAGTATTTTAGGTATGGGGTTAAATAAAATACATTAAAATTAATTTCATCTGCTCTGTCTAGCTTTTAAAAAATGTGGCTACTAGAGCCTGGCTGGAGCGGCTTAGTGGTTGAGCATCAACCCATGAACCAGAAAGTTGAAGTTCGATTTCGCAATAAGAACTTATTTTTTAAAACTGTGGCTACTAGAGCCCTAGGTGGTTTGGCTCAGTAGATAGAGCGTTGGCCTGTGGATTCAAGGGTCCTGGGTTCAATTCTGGTCAAGGGCACATGCCCAGGTTTCGGGCTAGATCCCCCAGTAGGGAGCGTGCAGGAGGCAGCCAATCAATGATTCTCTCTCATCATTGATGTTTCTATCTCCTCTCCCTCTCCCTTCCTCTCTGAAATCAATGAAAATATATTTTAAAAAACCAAAGTGTGGTTACCAGAAAATAAAAAATTACACATGTGATACCTATTTGTGCCTGACATTGTATTTGCATTGGACACTGATGCCTCCTAAGTTGAGGTCACTCTCCTAGATCGCTCACTGAAGTCCAGATGTGTATATGCAACTATCCAAACAGGATATCCACTTGGACGTCTAAATAGGCATCTTAAGCTCAGTAAGTTCAAAACTTAACCTCAACATTCTCCTCAAGCCCTGGCCAGTGTGGCTCAGTTGGTTGGGCATCGTCCTGAGCACCAAGGGGTTGCTGGTTGCATTCCTGGTTGAGGCACGTGACCTGGTTGTGGGCTCAATCCTTGGTAGGGGCTTGTGGGAGGCAGCCAGTTGGTGTTTCACTCTCACACCAATGCCTCTCTCTCTCTCTCTCTCTCTCTCTCTCTCTCTCTCTCTCTCAAAAATCAACAAAAATATTTTTTAAAATTCTCCAAACCTGCACCCAACCCCTGGTCATCTTAGTAGATTCTACTTGCTCAGGCCAAAACCCTTGGTGCTATCTTTGGCCCCTTTTTCTCACATCCCACATGCAATTTGCCAACGTGCATGTCAACAAATCCTGTTTGTTCAATATTCAAGATAGATCCAGAGCCGAAACCGGTTTGGCTCAGTGGATGGAGCGTTGGCCTGCGGACTGAGGGGTCCCGGGTTCGATTCCGGTCAAGGGCATGTACCTTGGTTGCGGGCACGTCCCCGGTGGGGGATGTGCAGGAGGCGGCTGATCGATGTTTCTCTCTCATCGATGTTTCTGACTATCTCTCTCCCTTCCTCTCTGTAAAAAATCAATAAAATATATTGTCAAGATAGATCCAGAAATCCCATCACTTCTCACCCCCTCCACCGCTACCTCCCTGCTGGTTCCAGCCAGCATCGTCTCTTGCCGGGGCCATCACTGTACCTTCTTACTGGTCTCCAGCCTGCCTTCCCCCTGCCCTGCTAAAATCTGTTTCCACATCCAGAGGGATCCTGTGCAACCTCAGTCAGCTCGCTCGCATCACGCTTCAGCTCAGAACCCTCCCATGTGGCCCAGAATAAAAGCCAAAAGTCCTGACCGTGGCCTAGACCAGTGATGGCGAACCTTTTGAGCTCGGCGTGTCAGCATTTTGAAAAACCCTAACTTAACTCTGGTGCCGTGTCACATATAGAAATTTTTTTTTTTTTTTTGCTTTTTAAAAGAAACAATAAAGTTCATTTCGTTAAAGTCATTTTAGGTTTACAATAAATTTGAGAGGAAGACACACAGAGCTTACACATACCCTCTGCTCTCAAACATCCACAGCCTCCCCCAGGGCCAGCATATTCCACCGGAGTGGTAGCTTTGTTACAATCAATGAATCTACAATGACACATCATCATCACCCCAAATCCATAGTTTACATTGGGATTCACTCTTAGTGTGGTGTATTCTATGGGTTTTGACGAATGTATAACAACATGTATCTATCATTTTAGTATCATACAGTCTGGTTTTCCTGCCCTAAAAATCCTCTGTACATTGCTTATTTATTTTTCTTTCCTCTCTAACCATTGGCAAACTTTAATCTTTTTTTCTGTCTCCACAGTTTCGCCTTTTCTAGGGTCATGTAGTTGAAATGGTAAAGTATGTATATTTTCAAATTGGTTTCCTTCACATCACGATAAGTAGTTAAGATTTCTTCTTGCCTTTTCATGGATTAATAGCTCATTTATTTTTAGCACTGAATAATACTCCATTGTCTGGATGTAACACACATTGTTTACCCTGAAGGGAACCTTGGTTGCTTCCATGTTTTGGCAATTATAAATAAAACTTGTGGAAACATTCATGCATGATTTTTTTAGTGTGAACATAACTTTTCAAGACCTTTGGGTAAGCACCAAGAAGTGCAATTGCTTGATCATATAATGAAAGTGTGAGTTGTTTCATAAGCCACTAAACTGTCTTCCCAAGTGGCTGTACCATTTGCATTTCCGCTAGCAACAAATGAGAATTCCTGTTGCTCCATATTCTCATCAGCATTTGGTGCTGGTACTATTCTGTATTTGGGCCACTGTAATAGATGCATAGTGTATCTTATAATTGTTTTAATTTGCTATTTTCTAACGGCATATGATGTTAAACATCTTTTCGTATGCTTATTTGTCATTTGCATATTTTCCTTGATGAGATGTCAGTTCAGATCTGTTCCCCGATTTTTTTTTAATATATTTTATTGATTTTTTACAGAGAGGAAGCGAGAGAGATAGATAGTTAGAAACTACACATCAGCTGCCTCCTGCACATCTCCCACTGGGGATGTGCCCGCAACCCAGGTACATGCCCTTGACCGGAATTGAACCTGGGACCTTTCAGTCCACAGGCCGACGCTCTATCCACTGAGCCAAACCGGTTTCGGCTGTTCCCCGATTCTTTAATTGGATTGTTTGTCTTATGGTTGAGTTTTAACGGCTTTTTGAATATTTTAGATAACAGTCTTTTATCAGCTATGTCTTTGCAGTCTGGGCTTTTTTTATTCTCTTGACAGTGTCTTTGGCAGATAAAAAGGTTTTGCTTTTATTTTTATTTTTATTTTATTTTACAAACT